AGAGAATTACAATTACTGAAAGCAATATGAAGTCCCGGTATACAACAGAATTTCATGAGCTAGAGAAAATTGGCTCTGGAGAATTTGGTTCTGTATTTAAGTGTGTGAAGAGGCTGGATGGATGCATTTATGCCATTAAGCGATCAAAAAAGCCACTGGCTGGCTCTGTTGATGAGCAGAACGCTTTGAGAGAAGTATATGCTCATGCAGTTCTTGGACAGCATTCTCATGTAGTTCGATACTTCTCTGCATGGGCAGAAGATGATCATATGCTTATACAGAATGAATATTGTAATGGTGAGTGATAAGTGGTTCTCTTGTGAGCTTGAGAAAATGAACATCGAGGAAATATCATCTAAAATCTTGCTTCATTTCTGTCACTTCAATCTTTTATAAATTTAAATATTAGAAGCCTAACATAAATTTCAAGTACAAGATTAAAAACCTTGTCCCTTCTGAAGCACCTTGTACATACCTCAGTAGTAGAACTTTGCATACTATTATGTGCTTGTCACTCCAACTGAACTTTTTGAGAAGACAATGGCCTTGCCACATATATTTTGGTGACTTTAGTACCTAGCATAGTGTATGGGGCATGTAGTAGTTATGACATGTTAGGTTTAACTTAACATTTCTCAAAAAAGAAAGAAAGAAAGAAATGTTAACGTTGAATGGATTCTTCCTGTGTCTACTCTTTTATTTCCATTTTATTTGGTGTGCTGCTAAAACTGATGTTTGCCAGTCAGTCTTCATTGATCTAATGTTGACGGATCTAATGTTGACTTCATTGATCTTCATTGATCAGCTGTTTGTTTAAGCATTCTATAGTCCTGCTCCCATCTATCCAACCTAGTCTACCACCAGGATCCACTAACAGTTTATTATGTTACATTCTTTTAGTTCTCTAGTTTGTCTTCTCTTCCTCCTCTCCCTCAAGCAGGAAACAAAACAGGCATGTATAGATTCAACTTTGGATGTCTCTGTGTAGCTTTCAGTTTCTGTAAGTCCTTCAAGGGCTGATTTACGTCTCTCCTTTTTCCTTAAAAACCTTTACCAAAGTCCTGGTCAGAATTTCATTATTATACACCAAATCTTTATATGTAATAGATTATTTCTCAACATTTTTGTAGTTTATAAGCATGATGATTGGGTTTTCATACTCAAGTGTGAAGTGTGCCTCCCTAAAACCTTGTTACGACATTAGCACATTACCAGTCTGAAATGAAAAATATCTGTAGATTGTTTCTATTTCCGTATGTCTTCTGTGCATAAGGAGAATTTAGAGTTTAGTGAACACTTGAAAGGATATAACAAAGGTTTATTTTTGTTGATTCTCATTATTCCTTAAATAAGACCAGTTATCTCATAACTTGTAAATAAATAAGTGGTGTGGGTATAGATTCAGATTCCCCATATTTAAAAACAGTGAACAAAACAGAAGTAAAAGATCCATTGTTCAAACCTGATTAAGTTATTTTATTAGTTCTCCATACTTGAAAGAACTTGAGTGTCTAGTATACAGCATTGCTGCTAGTTTTTTTCACACAGCTCTTGAAATGTTTGTATTCATACCATCAAAATATTTATGTATCTCCCATGACCTTATTTTTAGCCTTCATTTTTCAGGAATTGCATTTAACCTACAACAACTTGACTGTAATGTCATCTCCATTCCGTATTTGCTAGACACCATCTCTTTTCCGTTTCTTTCTTTCTCTCTCACCTTATTGATGTGAATAGTTCTCTTAACAGAATAGTTCAGTAGTAGTCCAGGAATGACAAATAATGTAGCAACCTACCAATATATGGTTGTGTAAATCAGATGATTTTGAGAAAACTCAACTGGGTCTGAGAGATAGGGAAGAGTGAGTAGTCTTGCTACCCTCTCAGATTACAAAAACATTGTCCTGTGATAATGTTAGATAGTAAAATAATCTATTGAAAATAAGTTATTTTAAAACAATATAAAACACTTGAAGAAAAATAGACCTTCGTGAAACAGGACTGCCTCTTTGTGTGGCTGTTTGTCCTACTTAGATAAAAGAAAATAAGACTGCCTGGATGCATTTGTGATCTCTTCCTTTTAATTCCTGTGTCCACTATTCCTCTTTCCACATTAAGCTTTGAATATACTAATAGGACTCATCTTCACATCTTTTCCAGTTTCCCAGGAAAAGGATTGTGTTATCATTTATTTGACATGAGTAACCTATTGCCTTTATTGTGATTTAATTTCCTTATTATCTTACTCATTTGCATTATAAGCCTTTTATCTTGGTTTGGTGATAGATTGGAATTAACCTGTATAAACAAGTGTAGAAAAATGCTGATGGATAGGGAAAGAGAACCCGAAATGTCAGAACTTGTTTTGTTTTTCTCACCGTTCTTGTCCTTCTAGCAATAAGAGAAGAAATTGGCACATCTGTGGTTGCTGGACCTGCTAAAAAATTAGCCATATTTTTTCTTAGCAAATTTGATCTAGGACTTAGCTTGTCTTGTGTGACAGCGTTATTGGTCTGCTCCCTTCTAGAGCCCTCTTTTTCCCCTCCAGTTCAAGATTTGTACAAGTAAGGAGAATGTATATTCAAGAATAAGATACTGAGATATGTAATTTATTATTATTTTTTTTTAATGTTTTTTTTTTGAGACGGAGTTTCACTCATGTTACCCAGGCTGGAGTGCAATGGCGCGATCTCGGCTCACCGCAACCTCCGCCTCCTGGGTTCAGGCAATTCTCCTGCCTCAGCCTCCTGAGTAGCTGGGATTACAGGCACGCACCATCATGCCCAGCTGATTTTTTGTATTTTTAGTAGAGACGGGGTTTCACCATGTTGACCAGGATGGTCTCGATCTCTTGACCTCGTGATCCACCCGCCTCGGCCTCCCAAAGTGCTGGGATTACAGGCTTGAGCCACCGCGCCCGGCCTATGTAATTTATTTTTATTTTAAAAACCCATTTAACCTTGTTATTCAGTCTTATTTAAATTGTAGGACCTCCTTTTCTGACTAATACATCATTGACCTGCCTAATTATATTACCCAGCTCTGATTTTTTTATTCCTAAGCCTTAAACAGAAGTTTTTTCTTTTTTTTTAGAGAGATGGAATCTTGCTCTGTCACCCAGACTGGAGTGCAGTGGTGAGATCTTGGCTCACTGTGACCTCTGCCTTCAGAGAGAGTTCAAGCAATTCTCCTGCCTCCTGAGTAGATGGGACTATAGGTGCATGCTGCCATGCCTGGCTAATTTTTTTTTGTATTTTAGTAGAGATGAGGTTTCACCGTGTTGCTGGTCTTAAACTCCTGAGCTCAGGCAATCTGCCTACCGCAGCTTCCCAAAGTGCTAGGATTACAGGCATGAGCTACCACGCCCGGCCAACAGAAGATTTTTAAAACAATTCTTTATTGCCTTTGAGATAAAATATAAACTTTTAAAAGTTTTTTTTTTGTTTGTTTTGTTTTGTTTTGTTTTGTTTTGTTTTGTTTTGTTTTGTGTTTTTGGAGATGGGTTTCACTCTTGCTGCCCAGGCTTGAGTGTAATGGCACAATCTCAGCTCACCACAACCTCTGCCTCCCTGGTTCAAGCGATTCTCCTGCCTCAGCCTCCTGAGTAGCTGGGACCACAGCGTGTGCCACCATGCCTGGCTAATTTTGTATTTTTAGTAGAGACAGGGTTTCTCCATGTTGCTCAGGCTGATCTTGAACTCCTGACCTCAGGTGATCCGCCCACCTTGGCCTCCCAAAGTGCTGGGATTACAGTCATGAGCCACCCTGCCCAAACTTTAAAAATTAAAAAAGATAGCCAGTCATGGTGGCTCACGCCTGTAATCCCAGCCCTTTGGGAGGCTGAGGTGGGCAGATCACCTGAGGTCAGGAGTTCAAGACCAGTCTGACCAATATGGTGAAACCCCATCTTTAAAAAAAAAAAAAAGGTATAAACAAATTAACTGGTTTAATTAATTCTATAAAAGCAGGCTATGGTATCATTCATAGTAAGAGTAGTATAAAATAAAACTATACTAAAATACTGACATTTATTTTATTTTTTACTTTTTTAAGAGACAGGGTTTCAACATGTTGGCCAGGCTGGTCTTGAACTTCTGACCTTGTGATCCACCCGCCTCGCCTTCCCAAAGTGCTGGGATTACAGGTGTGCGCCACTGCACCCGGCAATACTGACTTTTAAGTATTGTCAAGGGTATGGAGAACCAGGTATTCTCATACGTTGAAAATGAGCATATAAATTGATACAGCCTTCTCTATGGAGAAGAGTGTGTGTGTAAAACACAATCTCTATATATTACAAATGTGCATATCCTTTAACCCAGCAATTTGACTTCTAGGTGATATACTAAATGTGTGTGAAATAACCAATGTACAAGGTTATTTATTAGGCCATAGTATATAATAGCAAAGGCTTGGAAATAATTTAAAAATGTCCAGGAATTGGGGGACTGATAAATACATTACCATTCAATTATACAATGGAATTCTATAGAGAGAAGAAGAAATGGGTTGTCTTTGTATATTGGTATAGAATGATCATTAAGATAATGAACATGATCGGGCCCGGTGGCTCACATGTGTAATTCTAGCACTTTGGGAGGCCGAGGTGAGCGGATTATCTGAGGTCAGGAGCTCAAGACCAGCCTGGCCCACATGGTGAAACCCTGTCTCTATTTAAAAAAAAAAAAAAGATAATGAACCATATGCTGTTACTTATGCAAAAAGTTGAAAAGAATACATAGAACTGACCTGGGCATGGTGGCAATGCCTGTAGTCCCAGCCGCTTGGGAGACTGAAGCAGGAAGATCACTTGGGTTTGGGAATTCTAGGCTGTAGTGCACTATGCCGATCTAAGTTCAGCATCAGTATGGTGACCTCTCTGGGGTGTAGTGGAGCACCACCAGGTCGCCTAATAAGAGGTAAAATGGCCTAGGTCAGAAACAGAACAGGTCAAAACTCCTGTGCTGATAAGTAGTGGGATCAAGCCTGTGAATAGCCATCGCATTCCAGCTGGGCAACATAAATAGACCCTGTCTCTTATAAATTAAAAAAGAAGAAAAAACCTGATAATGTTGGTTTACTTGGGGAATGAAAGAGGTGGGTTGCTGAGGTGTATGAGTGAGAGAGACTACATTTTATTTTGTACCCATGCAAATGTATTACCTATTGAAAAAACAGTAAAATTTTGATTTCACAAGCAGGTTGAAGGGAGAATGTCCTATAAAATAACACTTTCTTGGCTGAGGTTGGTTGGTTGAGACTCATTCAGTAAAGACAGAAGAAAGAAGACAGAAGAAAATGATAATATTTTCTATCTTTGTTAGGTGGAAGTTTAGCTGATGCTATAAGTGAAAACTACAGAATCATGAGTTACTTTAAAGAAGCAGAGTTGAAGGATCTCCTTTTGCAAGTTGGCCGGGGTTTGAAGTATATTCATTCAATGTCTTTGGTTCACATGGATATAAAACCTAGTAAGTATTGCAGATCTTTTGACCTGTGTTCTTTGGGGTTATAGAGAATAAATTACTTTATTATGACAATATTGAAAACATATATCTTATGTTTTCTCATTGTTTTAAAAGGCCTTGGATCAACTTACCAATATTGTTTGATGATTTCTGTTTACCTTTTCCCTTGTTAACCCCCAAAATTTGAGATGATAAACGTTTTTTTTTTGAGACTGCATTTCACTCTTGCCCAGGCCGGAATGCAGTGGCGCCATCTCTGCCCACTGCAACCTACTGATTCCGTGCTGAAACAATCATCCCACCTCATTTTTCCCAGTAGCTGGGACTACAGGCATGTGCCACCATGTCTAGATAAATTCATTTTTATTAAAAGCCAAAAATTTTTGCTGCATCTTATAGGAACTGCTGTGGGATACTAATGAGGGCACTAAAAATCTGTGTTTAAAGCCCCATTCTCCACTAGGCCAGACCATATTAAAATTTTCCCCAGTTGACTCAAGTCCTTAATAGTTGATTTGTTCAAATTAATATGTACTTAAGGATCATGCATTGCATATGGTTATATCAATTTTTCTTTTTCAGAACCCATCCCCTACTTTGTAAAAAATGATACTTATCTTTCAAGCTATCCCTTTTTCTGGATTTGACTAGTTGCTTCTTGTGTATCATTTAGCTTGTTCCTTTTTCTGTATTTCCTATAAATTGGAAGTTATAACTAAGGGATATGGATTCAAGTTAAGCATTTTAGGCTAGATGAACTTAATGAGGTTTTTATTAATCTTTGGAAATGTGTTGATTTGTGAGAAGTCATTTTGTACAACTTTGTGAGTTGTATGCTAGAATTTCTTTTTTTTTTTTTTTTTTTTTTTTTTTAATTTTTTTTTTTTTTTTTTTTTTTTTTTTTTTTTTGTATGCTAGAATTTCTTATGTGTATGTTAAGTCATTAACTTTTATTTTCAAAAGAAATATATTTGGACTTAAGGCAGTAAATGTGAATTTGCAAGGAATGACTGTACTCACTCATCTCTTATATAAAGTGTTAGACAAATATAATAGATCCTTATAAGGTGTAAAAGTTGAAAATATTAAGGGATGTGAAGTTTAAAAATCTTCAAGTTTACAAATACCACTACAAAATAAGTTGTCCTATAAATAAAGTAAAACTGTATAGATTACTCCAGTAAATGCAACATAAATTCTATGCTATATATTTGTGTGTGTGTGTGTGTGTGTGTGTGTGTGTGTGTGTGTGTGTGTGT